TCCAAAGTTGAACCTCTCCCGCACATGTCCATACTGCTTTCCAACCAGGTAAGTATAATAAAGTCTTAACTGCAAATCACAGGTGATAAGATTGCAACAAAGCTGAATGAAGCAAGGTAGACACTGATAGCTACAAAGTCAGAAACAATATAACTTAGCCAGTGGCATCCATGACATACTAATGTCATTATGGCAGAATATTATTCAGACCTGTTTTGAAAATCTGAGATTAATTGACATGCACAGCTATCGGGATTGTTAACAAATGAAGACACAATTATAAAGAAGTTACAAATTTGCAAAAGCATTTTCCACTGGATTCTGAAATTTAAATGTGTGCTTTCATGATGTTAATGCTTGTTTGTCTTACAATTGTCCTATATTTTTGAGAACAGGACATTCATGCATTGTTCCCTGTGTTCAGCTCTCTGCAGGAATCCTTTGCTTCTCTCTGCCTGTCAGTCCTCAGATGGCATGTGATGTGGAAGGTAAGAACAAACCTGACTCATTAGGAACTTTGTAAATGATGTTAGAAAATGATGCAATACTATAGAGGCACAACCAGAAGTATAGGCATCACAAACTGAAAAAAAAAAAAAAGTTTTTAAATGTATGTCTTCAGCTTTAGTAAAGGTAACGTGATTGTGAGAATGAAAAAGATAAGTAAATATAGAGAAAGGGTTACTGAGTTCCGATTAATTTATGGTTTTGAAATGACAAGTTGCAGAGTATTACATGTGAGTTACCAGCATTACTTTTTAGTTGATGAGGGGATTACAGGCATAGCTAGAACAATTATGAGAGAGTGAAGTTAGTGGAATTAACTCCAAGTGAGCTGGAAAAATGTACAAGAAATAACTATGAACTACACTGAAAGGATGACTAACATTACTGAATCTTCCCTCCTGCTCTGTGAGAACTGGGAATGAGATGGATCTATTTTGAGCAAAGGAGTATGTGTCTAGCTTTTGCAAACAGTATTATATTGCATAAACAGAAACTCTTAACAAAATAACATGGGAAAAATGGAAGATTTGTCACATAGTCATTTTTTCAGCTCTATTAGTTCTGGAAATAATAGAACAAATGGAAATGAGAGCCAAACAAACCCTTAGTGATGTTTTGGGTGGTCATATTATGGGTTGCAGGAAAGGAAACTGAAGTACTGATAGGCTGATGAACCTAATTTATATATATGCATGGAAACACACATATACATATATGTACACACATACAGGCATGCACACATAACTGCTGCTGATGTGGCCGACTTCTACCAATACAGATTTCTTCATTTTGATGATCATCCAGTCCCATGCAAAAAGTTTCTGATAAGCACATTGTTTTCTCATACAGCATCAAAGACACAGCAAACTAGACTTGTTTGCACACACAAAATATGGTAGAAAGCCAAATCTCAATGTAAACATACATGGAAAATTATCTGTAAGGACATACACAAATTCAACCTCAAAGGAAGGAGTAAAGGGAAAATAATTTGTGTAGTGGTCAAATGACTTTAGCCTCATTGGTAAATGTTTTAATTTTAGACAAGAATCCCTTTATTATTTTTGTAAATAAAAATTCATTAAAAAGTATGTAAGTTAATTTTAGAAGACTTAAGCATATTTATATTTTTAAAAATGCTCAACACAGAATATGTTACCATCTCTCATCTCTCCAATTCCAGTTCTATTATCTTAAAGAATTTTTTCTGAATAAATATAGAAGGGTCAGTTATTTTACTTTGTGTTCTTGATAACATCATGTATGTTTTCCCTAATTGATAGATTACTATATCACAAACCCCGCAAAAGAGACTTCTTTTCCTATGGTACCTACTATCAAATAAGATACCACACTGTGGAAATTACTACTAATAAAAATTTTTCTCTTAATAAGTTACAAGGACAAAAAATTCTTTAAAAATGAGAGGAATGGGGGCCCTTCCTGGTGGCAAAGCAGGTTAAAGCACTAAGAGGCTAAAGCCCCTTCAGCATGAGTTCCATCCCTACCCCAGAGATGAACCACATGGCATGTCAGACCTCTCCTGACCCGCCTGCTGCTTCTTTCAACAGTGTACTTTGCCAATCTGCTTGTTATGCACGCCACTCTGTCTCTGGTGAATCCTCTCACTGCCCCTGCACCTCTGGCCTATACCCAGATCTATATGCATAGATTAAAAAAAAATCTTTAAAAAAAAATGAGAGGAATGAAACTTCAGACATACAAATGTGTTGTAACAATATGCTAGAAATATACAAACCTAGTTTATTAAACCAACATTCCATCAGAGTTAAACAGTCTGTGAAATTTAATAGATGTCAGTCTCATTTTGATATTTTAGATACATTAAAGATATTATGGTATAATTTAATCTGCATACACATTTGACAAAGTAAATTATAGACCTAATAAGAACCTTCAAAATATAATTCTGTTTGTTCACATGAGAAATCAAGAATTTAAAGGTAAAAATCCTTCAGTAAGGAAGTAGTCACTTAAATTGGAACAAATATGTTGAGCAGCATACATAATAAACACCTAATAAACACATAATAAATGTGTTTTCTTATATATAACCAAATTACAAAAGTAAAATAGGTGTAAGGTAGATAGCCATCACAGATTTATTTAAGTTCTAAGATGAATTTAAGTAAAAGCTTGCCATTAAGATAGATAGACTTTTTAAAAAAGATTTATTTATTCATGTATACAGAACTAGGGTACTGGCCAGAGGTGCAGGGGCGGTGAGAGGATTCACCAGAGACAGAATGGGGAGCAGAATAAGCAGATCGGCGAAGCACACTGCTGAGGGGAACAGCGGACAGAACAGGAGAGGTCTCGGGTACCATAAGGATCACCTCCCCTGCCAGGGATCAAACTTTCACTGAGGCGGCTGCAGCTAGCTTGAAGCACTGTGTCCTAACCAGTTGGCCACCAGGGAGGGCCGATATGTAGACATTGTTTAACACACCATTTTTCTATGTAAAAATCTTCCTTTCTCTCAGTTAATATCCAGCATTGTCCAAGTCTTCCTAATTACAATTTAATTCCTAACACCTTTCCTTACAGATAGAGTAGTATTGAGCAAGAAGACTCTTGCCAATTCCCCAGTGACTATTTTTGTAAACTTTTCTATTTTTTTTCTCTCCTCCTGTGACTAAATCGAACCTATGAAGTCCTACTGTGTAATTCCCCTTTATCTTATATTGAAATGTCCTCTTCTTCCTGCAATCTGATGTCCAATTGAAAAATGCAAACTGCTAATAAACAGCATGGGTTTCTGGGTTGAAAAGCAGGCCTTCTGTTTGCCAAATACCTGGGTATTAAGAATGAAGCCTGTCAGTTCTGACTCAAAGCCTGGAATCAATAAATTGGAGAACTCTGGAATGTTACCAGACAATACATCATAAAATTCTAATAAACTAAGTCCTCAACCAAGTACCCTGTAGATGTTGCTTTAATTCCTCTTTGTTTTTTCTTGTTTTTAATCCTTGTATACACAGTGGTGCCAGATTTATTTTTTTTTAAAGTATAAATAGTGCAGTTAAATATGAATTTCAGACAAATAATAGAAATGTTTTAGGATAAGTATATCCCATGCAACATTTGGAACATGCTTACACCAAAAAATTTCTTTGTATTATGATAGATCAGGAAACCTAAATTGCATTTGTTCTAATTAAATGAAAGTCCTACAAATGAACATTGCAGTTCATTACCACCTCCAAAAAAGCTTTGCAAAATAAACATAAACATTCTTAGAATGCTCAGAACACACATCTAGATTGCTGTTGATATGTTCTTCTTACACCATGAAAGGTATCACATCTTAGTATTGGAGTTTTGGAATGAAATCTGAAGTGTTTTTTTTTTAATTATTAGTTTTGAATTTAGTAAATTTATTAGTAAACTGCAGTTGCAAAGGCTTATCTAAAGACATGAATGACTACTTCCTAAGAATATTTTCCCCTGTGGGAAGAGAATTTACTTATAAATAAAATTTTTATTCTCAAAGAAAAAAAGCTCTTTGTAGTTCATCTTAAATTCAAATTTAACTGAGAGTCCTGTATACGTTATATAGCAACTCTACCTATATCAACACCCTTTCTGCTATCTCTGAAGATAGGATGGCTTTTCCCATGAGTTAATATGTAATTTTGCAAGAGTTTGGGAAAAAGAGATGTTCGTTGAGTGAACATCTTATAAACTTTGCCTCAAGACCTAGCCAAGGAAACATGCCTTGGTGGGTTGGGTTATCCATAGTGGGTACACAATTTCTTATAGGACAATTAATAAATACTTTAGACTTTGCAGGTTATACAGTGTCTGTTACAGCTCTTCCCTTGTAGTTTGAAAGTAGACATATAAATAAATATGACTACATTCCAATACAACTTATTTTCAAAAAGAAGTGTCAGGCCAGTTTTGGCCCGCAGGTTATAGTTTTCCAATTATGTCACAACTGAAATGGCACTTAGCCAATAGTCACTGTAATAGCCATATTACAGTTTTGAGTTCACCTGTTGGAGAATGAGTCCAACCAACTGACTATAATTCAAATCATAAAAAATAGTGTGAATGTTAAAATAAACGGAGATCAATTTGCACACACATACTCCAAATACATGTACTATAACCCTCTGCTATTAAAAGGAGATAGAATAATCATGATCGTTTGAGGTTGAAAAACTACTTAAAATTAATAAAATTTACTACATTAAACTATTTCCTTGTTCATAATACAGAGAGACACTGTCATTTTACTACTAACAAACTACTTTACTTTTTTTAAAAAAAAGAAAGTAAGGGCAATATTCTAAAGGGTGAGAGCTGGCAATTCAAAGAAGATAGAAAATTTAAACATGAGAAATAACACTGAAGAAAGCAAGTGTAAAAGCATCTTGTTACACAAGGGCAACTGAAAGGCAGACATATAACAGGATATGGCTGGCAGGATAAATCGAGAGGGACAAGTCTTGAGTAGTTTCCATGACTCATCGCTGAGCCACAGGAGCCCGCAAGGCACAGACACTGATTAAGAATGGATCCAGGAAAGTGAATATGGCAGGAAGAAGGACAGAGTCAAGGACCTAGAGAGGATAAAATGGGTGAGGTCTTAAAAAGATAACTTTCTGGAGAGACATGTGGAAAATAGAGAAACAGAGATTGGTCTTGTTTGTGAACTTGTACCAGCAACTACTTGTTTACACTATATGGATTAAGTTAAATGTGATGGACGTACCTGATGATGACAGCAAAGTCTTTTTATGTGTGTTTCACTGTCCTCGGGGTTTAGTCTGGTAGGAAGTATTCAGGATACATTTAAATTCAATCATGCCTTTGACAGCCAGCACTGTAGTTCAGATAACCCATTGGAACAAATGTTTTACTAAATTTGAGAAACAGATGAAGAGATACAAATGCATTGAGTGGAAAAAATCACTTTATTAAATAAACTTTTTTATTTTCATCAGCATCAAAGACAAAATAAACCTGACAATAGTCACTGTGGAAATGAATGAAATGAAGAGGTTATTGTCACTAAATAGAGCTCCACAAGGCAATATGAATAGCTAGAGTACTTTAAAGGGTAAAAAGGAATGAATAAACACAATAGATGTTGTGATGGTTGTGAGAATGTGCTGGAAAAGATTCCCAGGAGTCATGATGACCATGATCAATATCCTAACTATTGGGATTGCTAATTTGTGAAATAAAATTGTCCCCAAATTAGAGTGCAAATTTAAAGAAAGTGGCCAAGGAGAGCTTGATCTACTGCCTCGTAGTTAACACAATAGTAACTGAACTAACTCTAACAGGAGACTTTATGTACTTCGATCAAGTAGATTTTTTTAAAAACATTTCCAGCTTCTCTATGAATATTTTGCATTTGTTACATCAAATTATAAAAAAAAAAAAACTTTTTTTCTGAGGAAGTAACTAGGTAACATAAAAGACAAAAATTATTATTTTTTAAAGATTTATTTATTTATTCGTACAGAACTGGGGTATAGGCCAGAGATGCGGAGGGTGAGAGGATTCACCAGAGACAGAGTGGGGTACAGAACAGGCAGATCGATAAAGTACACTGCTGAGGGGAGCAGCGGGCAGGTCAGGAGAGGTCTGCCACGCCATGTGGATCTCCTCCGGGACAGGCAGGGAATCGAACTCATGTGGAAGTGGCTTAAGCTTCTTTGTGCTGTGCTTTAACCCGCTGTGCCACCAGGGAGGGCCCGACAAAAATTATTTTACTGTAAACATTGTACTAGTTTTTATTGAATAAGTATCAGAAACAGTGATTTATGCTTTTATGTATCTCATAACAATCAATCCTGGAAAGGAGGTATTTTAAATAGCACTTGTTACATATGGAAAAAAAAATAGGCCCAAAAAGTTTAAGTAAGTTTTCTTAGGAGCATAGCTAAGGAGTGACAGTGCAGATCTTCGACCCCAGGCTTCCCTCCTCCCCCCAAAGCCTGATTTGTGAGCATTACTCTAGCCTATCTCTCTGCCCAGGCAAATATTTCATCACCAACCAAAGCTGACAAGAACCAGTGTGGTTCTCATTAACTGGCTTTGGTCATGGTACTCATAAAGGCCATTCTAGTTTCCTGATGGGATTGACCAGAGTGCAGTGGCTGTTTAGGGCAATTCTAGTCAAAGTTTGGTGCTCAAAACCACACAGCAGCAAATTGTGCAAGTTCACTACGAAGGCAGCTCCTCAGAGCCTATCCCAAATTTACTATATCAGTATCTTTGGATTCTGCATTTTACCCAGATCCCTGGGTGTGTTGTATGAACACTGAAGTTGGAGAAACACCAACTAACAGACTTCCTTCACATTTAGGAGATGTATGGCTTTGTATCAGGAGAGTCTTCTAAAGACCCATAATTATTTCTCTGAGGAACCCTGGGCAGATATTCTCAATCTCAGTTGACTACAGTGATTTTCTTGGCTACAAATAGCAGGTGTCTGTGGTGTGACTACCACACTTGAAAATGTCTCTTCTCCAAAGAATGAAATTTTATATTTTTCGTGTTCTCCTCTGACTCCCAATGAAATCAATGGCATTAAGAGCTTCACCTTGAGATCAGACCTATCACATCTCCCACCTACTCCTTGGATTTGTGTCCTTTGGTGCATAAAAGAATTCAAAGTTAGGCTAACAACTCACATAGAATTCAATTCAGTGTAAGATAGTGGAAATCATGTTGACTGAATGTGAAAGCTTAGTGACAACTTTGTATGTAAAGAAACACCACCCCTTCCTCGCATTCCTCAACTTTATCACTGGCAGCCTCAGCAACCACCTTTCCATGAATATTTACTTAACATTCAACAGATTAATTTTGATTAAGTGCCTAGTGCCAAACAAGGGTTATACTGCCAAACAAGGATTTATAGTCTACTTGAAGAGTTGCCATGAGTGCATAAATTATAGGAGGATAAAATGAATGGAACAAGAAATTGTGAACAAAATTACCAATTATTTATACTCCAAGTTCAGTGGAAACACTTTTGAAATAACCTAGTTTATTTATGGGTATGCCCCAGCAAAGAACCCACAATAAAATTATTTTTAAAAAATATATAAATCTGAATTTCTTTTTTAAATTTTTTTGTAAAGAAACATTGCATTACAACATTGTATAGGTTTCAGGTGTGCCTCATTGGGAATCAATATGTGTAAATACTACATTAAGTTTACCACTAGAAGTCCAATTCTATCCTTTGCATTATCGTTGTCTACTTTTCCTCATCAATCAGTTTTAATTGTACAGAAACATAGTCCTCAATGCAGGTTGTGAGCAAACCAAGCAGTTAAAATTTCAAAAACCGTTCGTGTAGATTTTCTTCAACTTTAAAATTAATTTTCTTCCTATTTTTTCATCTTGTACTAAAAATTTACCCCCACCTGTCTCCAAATCTCACTTCCTCCTTGCCTATCTATGTCTCTGTTACCCTACCCTTGAGGTTTTTGCATCTCCCTCCTTGTGATCACACAACTTATTTTAGATCTGGCCAGAGTTTCTTCAGAAGGTTTCAATCTGGACTCCTAACACCCAGAATTTAAATTTATTTTGCATTTTGGACAAGCAGGAATGAGAGACAGGAATCTGACATGAAGGCAGATTCTAAACAATAGTGAATAAAGAATGACAGGTGTCAAGATCAGGAATAATTTAAGTAAGAGAGAAGCAAATAAATAAATGCATAAGCAACCAGATAGCAGGTCAAGGGAAATGAAAGAACAACAGAACTTTACAAGATTCAGAGATACATGTACAACTAATCACCATGTCAGTATCTGAAATTTAGAACTTTTACATAACAATCATTTCAATCATTTATAACAGGAATTATTCTTCACTTGTTCATTTATAACAGAAATTATCCTTCAGTTGTGAATGCACTTGATTATTCTTTAGATGGAATGGTCAAAGTAAATGTTACGTCAAAATTTGAGTAAATACTATTTCTATATAATCTATTCATATCAGTAAAATCATTTCACATATTTCATGTAGCTTTTCAAAAATCAAAAGTAAAGAAAGTGACTCTGGCAAGTGGTAAGGATAGGCTGCATAGTCCATATATAGTTTTCAAAAGCATCTCCTAATCTAATGGTGGCTCCAAACAGAAACAGATTGTCAAGCATGATCCAGTTGGTGCGCTAAAAGGAAAATGCTGCATAAATCTCCATTTGGCCCTTGTGAGCATCTATATCATTTGAGCACTAAGTAAACATTCTGATGTTTACCTCATACTTGAAAAAGTGAAATATACAAGCAAATGTAACTCAATATATTGTTTAGGGATATTTATATATATAATATTAATATTTTTGAAGGAAAGCCTTATTAAATACAAAATATAGGACAAAAGTCACATCAAATGAAACGCAAACAAATCCTAGAAATCTGACTGTAGAGATAGGATGGAGGATTAGAAGCAAAGGGTGAAGGAGACCAACAGGTTATAGTAGAGGATCATGGGTGTTTTGGTGATAGGTATGGATAGATATTTGAAGAGGCATGAACTTACACGCTTAACTATATATGCTGTTATCAATGTTGCCCCAATAAAACATAATACAATAAAAAGGGTTGGTTTGTGGGAACAATGAGAAAATAATATAATTGTTGAAGGGTTGCTTTACCAGCATATATCTTAATCCTAAATATTTTAGTATTATATATGTAAACAGGATTGATAAGTGGAAATTGGACAACAGTGAGGTGAATTAACAGCTTGTTGAATGACCATGGCCTCAGAGTGCTAACTCAATGGTGAGCAGTAGGCAACAACAAGCTTCTTCTCAGACTCAGGTGATGCTATGGAATGTAGTTTTTATCAGTATAGCAAATAAAATAAATGAGTGAAAATTAGTTATTAAGATGTAAGCACATCCTACATACCATGATCATGACAGTCTACAATGGTGCATGAAGGGCAACAAAATATGCTTAATATAAATGTATGTAAAGTCCAACACTTCAGCCTAAAAATATAGTAAGTACATGAGAAAAGTCACCAAAAGCAACAGGTTAAAGCACAGCACCATGAAGTTCGTGGCAGCTGCTTCAGCACAAGTTCGATCCCCGGCTCCGGAGGTGACCCACATGGTGAGGCAAACCTCTCCTGACCCGCTATCTGCTGCCCTCAGCAGTGTACTTCTTGGTTGGCAAGTTCTGCTCCCCACTCTGTCTGGTGAATCCTCTCACTGCCCCTACACCTCTGGCCTGTATCCCAGTTCTGTATGCATAAATGAATCTTTTTTTTTAAAAGATTTATTTATTCATACAGAACTGGGGTACAGGCCAGAGATGCGGAGGGTGAGAGGATTCGCAGAGACAGAGCGGGAAGCAGAACAGCAGATCGACAAAGTACACCGCTGAGGGGAGCTGCGGGTCAGGAGAGGTCTGCCACGCCATGTGGATCTCCTCCCGTGCAGGCGGAAATCCAACTCATGAGGAAGTGGCTTAAGCTTCTTAGTGCTGTGCTTTAACCCGCTGCGCCACTAGGGAGGGCCATAAATCTTTTGTTTTTAAATTCACCAAAAGCAAGTTTGATGATTTGGGAATATCTTTCTGAAGGAACTGAGAACCATCCCTTTGATATATAATTATCAGGACAGTAGTACTCCTATAACCCAGTGTCTGTGGAAGTTAGGGTGGGCAATCAATTAACAAACAGATGGCTAATCACAGAGGGCATTTGCAAACTCAAGAATAACTCAGTGTTACATACAACACAGTGCTCAGCCTCTTCCCTATCATCCTCCAGTACTTTTCCAATAACTTACCTTAGCCCTTAACATTCCAGCCTTTTGCTCCATACTAAGGTCTGTCTCCCATATTGCAACAGCCTTAAATAAGGTGTTCCTTGCCAGTTTAATTTTCTGCTTTTCAAGTTTTGCTTTGACAATGGCAGCGAACGTAAAACCCACAGGTATAAAGTCATTCAGGAATTCAGGAGCGATCACCACCATCATCCAACAAACATCCAATAAACATCCACTATCCTCTGTAACAGTGAGGAATCTGGTATTTACAGTCTCCTGGAACAATAAAGCATGGCCATAAATGACATTAATATAAAGTAGAAAATGAGCAGTGACTTGAGAGATCTTATAAAGTTCGATGAGGGAATCATAAATTTCTATGGTTTGTAAGATAAGAGATGCATATATAAAACCCCAGCAACCAAAGGAATAAAACAAGGAATTTTGACACAGCTAATATTAAGCAGGTCTCTCTCTCTCTCTTGCTTGCTTGCTAGCTCTTTCTCTCATATACCCATTCATAATACATGTATATCCATGCATGTATATGTATGTATGTGTGTGCATGTATAAAACAGCAATATCTAGTATATATGCATTATATATACATATGTGTGTATATATACACACATATCTAATTATACAGTGTTTCTTTATTTTAGCTAAACATTACTATCACCTGCTATTGAGAAATCTCAATAACTGGGTTCTCTTCCCAGAAAGTCAGATTTCATTGGTTTGAAGTAAGGGCCCAGACATCAATATAAAAAATTAAAATTTAAGATGCATCCTCAAGGTGACTGTATTGTGAACTATGGCACAAAGCTATTCTTTCTTTTCCTAACATTTCTGTGGTAGAAATACTAGCATAAATCAATATTAGCAGAGACAAAGCTGGCTTTTTCCCACTTCTTCACCTCTACTTCACCCCAAAGAGTAGCAATCTGGCTTCCATTCTCACCATCCATCAACCTACACATGCAAAGGATGCCAATTATCCTCAACCTGACAACTGATTTTCTTGATTCATGTGACACTATGATTGGGCTCATTTTTGATGCTATGCCTCTTCTCCATTTTTGTAAAATATACTGACTGTCCTACAGTTTACAATGGATTTTCTTACGTGTTTCATCTCCACAGTTTTATTGGGTTTCCAGGTTCACCCTCTACCTTTCCTATTTAAACATTTTCATTCTCTTTTTTTAAACATCATTACCTTTTTTTTTTTTTTTTTTAAAGATTTATTTATTTGTGCATACAGA